GGGGCGCGGCCCTGCGCCCGCCGGGGCGGGGGAGCTGGGTCCTGCGGCCGTGCTCCGCGTTTTGAGGTGCTTCTCCCCTTCGTTGCAGGCAAATGTGCAATACCAAGATGTCCTCCCTCACGGATGCCTCTTCTGTCACCGCTTCCGAGCAAGAGGCGCTGGTGAGTGCCTCGCCCGGACGCGCTCCCCGGCTTTTCGCAGTTTTTTGGCTGCTGGTTCTGAAGGGCCGCTTCGCGCAGCGAGCGATGGTTGGAGGAGAGCCAGGAAATCCGGTGCATTTGGGTTCTTTTTGACCCTGCAGCTGGGAGGCAAATCTTGCTCATTCGCGGTTAGGAGCTGAGGGTGATGGTTTAGGGCTGGACTCTGTCTCCAGGTCGGGTTGCTTTCTCCCGATAAAGAGGATTGTATGGTCCAGCTTGACCGTGGCAAGTGTTTCATGGTGGAAGTAGTTAACAGTTCGTAACCGAGGGGTTGTGGGAGATCTCTGTTGTGCAAAACGCACGCTCGTTGTGACACAGTCTCGTTATTACGGTTGCTTTGGGATTCCGCATTTTCACTTTGCCTTTTATTGGAATTTATAAGGAAGTTTTAATAAGACTGTTTGCTTGTGTTTATGGATTTGCATATCCAGGCTTTCCATGACAGAGTGACAGCTACGCTGTCCTGGCTTTCTGCCAAAATTTTCCTGCGGATGGAAGCCTGTTCTACCTGAGTAGCAAGCTCAGCACGCCGTGTGTACAGTGACAGTTGAGCTGGATTGCTTTTTGTGGAAGGGTAAAGTTTAAAAGTGTGGACTGACAGCAGGACTTCAAAAAAGCCAAGTAAGGGAACAGCAGACTGTTCGAAGTGGGTGTTTTGTTTCGTTTGTTTCTTCTTTTTTTAAGTCACGCTGTGTGGCTGCGGCCTGCTGTCAGGTCTGCCTGGCAGAAGAGCTTCATACTTGCAGGAGTCGGGGAGAGAGGGCTGGGGAGTAACAGGATCTGAACCCATCGGTCTAGTTGTGGTTTCTGAGATCGGAAGCTGCTTTGCCCTCCTGTGCCTGGCCGTCATTAGTACTTCAATAAAGTTACTCTTTGCTTCCTTTCTGAAACTGTGGTGTGTGCCGCATGCACGGAATGATTCGGCACTTAGGAAGGGTTGAAGAGGCATCTAACATCCACCAGCTTGTTTATTGTTTTCATGATGTGTGAGTCTTGGGACTCATCTCTCGTGAATGCATTAAAACTCAGCATTGGTTTGAGATTAGGATTAGCTATTAGCCAGTTTTTAGGATGGTTATGCTACTGTTAAAGTGGCAGTGCCAGAATGTACTGCAGTGGGAACTGTCCATGGCTCTTTGTGGTTCGTTCTCATCTCCTGCACTGGTGCTGGCAGAGCTGTTTGTGCAGTGCAGTGATGGGATCAGGACACTGGGCCGGCCAGGAGACGAAAAGGGGGTCGGAGGAAGTGTGCATTTTGTTGTGTTTGGGGTGGGTTCTTTTAAACTTTTCCTTCCTCTGCCTCAGAACTTGTCATAGACTGGCTGCAGATACAGCGCTGCTGGCACGGTGGGGGGGTGGGAAGCCACTGCAGAGGTAGGAGCAGTGGGAATACAGTGGGAAGGACAGGTTGTGCTTTTCCCAGCTAAGAAAATCTTCAGAGATAAAGCACGCCAGCTGGCAGCCCCAGAAACTGTCACAAGAGGAGACTAGGAGAGAGCTGGGCCAGTGCTTTGCTTTGTGACTTGCACTCTGGAGCCGACGGTCACAAAGGTCTGTTTGCCTTCTTCCCTACCCTTTGGGAGTCACTGTAGGGACGGAAGGAGCGAAGCTGAGTTCCCCGGGACCCCGCCCTGTGCTTGGAACCACTAGATGAATCCTATAGTTCAGGTCAAGGAGGCTGCATGTGGCAGTGAAAGGCTGGGGGGTGAGGCAAGATGTACACTGTGGGAAGCTCAGTACGACTGGCTTCACGTTCTTGTGCGTGTAGCTTTGCAAAGTCAAAAACTTGGGTGTGGGGAGGTTTTAATGTAGCTGTGTGTTTGCATCAGATTAATGCAGAAGGAAGAAGCCAACCTGTATAAACAGCGTTCTGTTCGGTGAGTAATTAGTGCATACTGATTGTTTTTCTTCTTCCCCACACAGGTGAAACCAAAGCCGCTATTGTTGAAGTTGTTAAAGCTAGCTGGCGCAGAAAAGGACACTTTTACTATGAAGGAGGTGAGAACTGATAATCACTGAAGGTAGATTGCAGTCAATACAGAGAGATTGCTCTGTTGTTTGGGGTGAATGGGGGGCGTTGCACTAGAAGATAGTGAGAGGAGGTATTGTTTTGATATCTCCCGGTGTTCAGCAAGTTTCTCTTGAACAAAATCTGGACAGAAGTATGTGGTGGTCAGTAGAATGGCAGAGTACTTGGGGGATAAGAGATGGAAATGGCAGCTCAGAGGGAGTTTTAGGCGATCAAAGTCAGAAGAGCAGATCTCAGTGAATTTAACGTGCTTTCTCTTAAACCTGAAACAGAAAAACATGGGTATTTAATGTTTGTTTATGTTACTTATTTTACAGGTAATATTCTATCTTGGACAATATATTATGTCTAAACAATTATATGATGAAAAACAACAACATATTGTACACTGTGCAAATGATCTCCTGGGGGATTTATTTGGAGTAACAAGCTTTTCAGTAAAAGAACACAGGTAAAATGGGATTCTTTTCTGAGAGTCTGGTTGTGAAATAGTGAAGAACATGATGCGTATGGCCCTCCTTAACTCTTTGCATCTTCAGAGATGGTAAGCTCTCGTTTATAATTGCATGGAGCTAACTTGCAACATCTCTTTCTCTATCCCCGACTAAGGAGGCTATATTCAATGATCTCCAGAAATCTGATAGCAATCAATCAACAAGGTAAGCTAGTTTGCAAGGACTTTTTGTTTTGGGAAATAGCCATAGGGAAAAGAGAACTTAGATGACTGCACGTTGCATGTGGTCATCAGCTAATGTCCATCTCTCCATAACTAGCCTGTTGGCTTTACGCGCTGCAGTCCGGAGCGGTCAGAAATAGTGAATTAAGGTACATGCTCTTTCCTCTGGGGGAGGGAAAAAAAACTGAACAGCACTGAGGCAGCTGTTGGCCTAGAACCAAAAAAAGCACGTCTGAGCTGAACAGAGAGAGGAGTAAATCGAAAAATTAGCCGGTATTTCTTACAGATAAAGCCCTCGGCAGCATAAAGTTTTAAAATTAGCTTCTTGAACTTGTGCCAGCAGTGAAGTTGGGGGAAATGGTTTTTGTTCTTTCTGTTGGTGGCGTTTTCCATTTCCAAAACTGAATGTGGAGTACGTTGAGAACTGGTGCCCCTCAGCTATGCCGAGTCCTCTCCTAAAAGGTCTGTGTACAAAAAAGCAGGTTTGTGGTAACTTTGTGGAGAGCCACTCCATAAATGGAGAGTTGTTACACTGTCACCTTTCCTGCAGTATGAAAATGCTCCCTATGGCTGTTCTTTTTGGCCAGTACCAGGAGTGAACCACAAGTTAAGCAGTGGAAGCCAATGTTGTATATCGGCTTCTGAGTCTGTATGAAGACGCCCTTTGTTTCTGATCCTTCCTAAAGGCAAGTGTGCAGCTGCTGAAGATGGGAAACGTGCTCTCTTTGTTACCCCTTCTTGTTAAGCTTGCAAACTTTAATCTCTCCATTTTTTTTTCTTGAAAGAGAGTATATTAATTCTGTGTCTGACTGGTAGTAAGCATATATAATTAACAACAGCTGGATTTCCCACATCAGAAAGGTTAGAGGGAAAATGCTGCACACACCTAAAAAGCAAAGGAACGGGGTTGTTTTTTCCACTGTTGTAAAATGTCTGGATTCCAAGTTCTGTTTAGAATTTACTTGCTAAATGCAGTGTGCAGTTAACTTCTCTCCCTTGCTTTTGCTCCAGTGTTTTGGGGCCTGACAGTGACTTTTCCTGCTGTGCTGTATTAAGGGTTTCTTGTTTGGTTTCAGACTCTGCGCTTGCTGACACACCTGAGGAGGATGCCAGAATTCAGCTTGAAGAAGAAAATGTTCTAAAGGTGATTTTTTAAGATAAATGTTCAGAGATAAATTCTGTGACACTGTCATGCAGAACTACAGTGGTTTAGATGCAGGTAGTTACTGATTCTAGCCTTGTACCTCCTACTCATGCTTACGCTTGCTCGGTATTTCTGTTAACCAGGAGTCTGTGCAAGGGTTAGAAGAGAAGCAGGCTGCATCACACGTGACCTCCCGACCGACTACGTCTTCCAGGAGGAGAACACACAGCGAATCTGGTACGTGCAGATTTACGAGGCAGAGCTTTCAGTAGCGTATGGCCACTTGGGGAAAGAAGTACATTCTGTTCCCTTACTGACTCTGAAAGACACCGTGAAATCCTGTTTGCGTTTCTCTGCTTATCTAAACCAAAATGTTCAGTCTGGAAGAAATACAGGATTCCTTGCATTGCTCCAGGATCATGTTACAGTCCCAATCTCTACAACTGTTAGTAAGATGATGGAATAACTTGTTCCACAGATCTGTAAAACTTGTGTCCATCAGCAGGACTTAATCAGTTGTGTTGTCTTCCTGAGGAGAACGCTTTTGTTTGCGGCAGCCTGATGCAGTCAAATTCATTTTGGTTCCCTCTGCAGACAGCCACAACACTATACATTTTGTTTGCTCTCTGAAAGCAGTTTTCATTGGATTTCAGCTGGGGGCAAAGACATCAAAGGTCCGGTAGTAACATGGGATGGTTTTGGATGTATTTAAACACTTGGCCATTCCTTAAGGACTTTTAAAACAGAGGTCTGGTGACGTAAGCATCGTATTTAGATTCCCTCTCTCTTTACTGTGGTTATTCAAGCATCACTGGCAAATACATTTTGAAAACGTGGAGTGTTTCTCCCAGTCATCAGCAAATAACAGGCTGGTCAGCGTAAACCTGAATAACTTTAAATTTCTCAGTGTAAGTGCTCTCTGCAGTTCTACCTCAGTACTGTTCTGTGGAATTTCTTACATTAGTTTGTTCCATCACTGCCGTTACCCCATGACTTGACGGTTGTAATTACCTGGGCAGCGAGGCCTTTCTGTCGCTGCGTAAGAACTTTCTCTCTTTTTCAGTTGCTTGGGAACATTCTTCAGTTCCTCAGCTTTTGTGTAGTAGTTTTTTTTGGTGTTAGTCAGTCCGAAAACTGTGCTGCGTCGCTGAGCGGTTTGCACTAAATTAAAAGAATGTTTTAATGTTGTAACAACGACTGGTGAAAGGATGGAAAGTCTGGGTTAAACATCATAACCTGTAATATTTAGGCATGACCCAGAGTACATAAGGTCCTGTGTTTTGCCTGCTTATTGTAGGTTGGATTATTAACTCCTGTCTTTGCATCCGTTTATTAGTTTGTTACAACCTTAAAAGTTCTTTTAATATAGTGTTTTTATATACACTTTTTTTCTAATTTATAGGAAATCTTCCTTTTAAACCACTATTCTTGTTAAATTGGGATGTAGCGGCTCCGTTGGAGCCGCTTCTATAGTGTATAGAAACCTTGTGGTGATGCAGTATCAGTACAGCATGGAGCCATGACAACTAAATGAGGACAACGATGGACAGGAGCAACCCTTGGGCCTGGGGGCACCAAATTTGGTGGGGCTCTCAGGGCGGAAAAAGAAAAGAGAGGGGCTGAGCCAAGAAGCACCAAGGGAAAGTAAGAGAAGTCTCAAAGTATGTACAAGTGTTTTGTTCTCTTTTCTTTACAATGCAAGATTCAGGACGCGAAGACTCACGGACTGTCAGGATGTGTTCTGTGAGGCAAGGGAGAAGCTGGGGGCGATGGAGGGTGGGTGCAGAAGGCACCTGTAGGGGGGCAGCAGGCTCTTACTGAGGTCTGTTGAACCGAGTTGTCAGGCCTCCTGGGGAGTTTTCACTCCACTGCACTTTTATACCGACTTTGCAACACCGTTTGTTTAATAAAATGGGTTTTTTACCCAACACTCTGAAACTCAGTGGAGCTGAATTTTGACCTACCTACCCCTAAAATGCTGTCCCCCTACTCCTTATGCTGCTGTAGGTGCTTGTTTCCAAAGCATTGTCTTTCTGCCTTCAAACCAAGCATATTTAATAAGCACAGCTTAAAGCGGTGCTTTCAGTGCTGGGTTTTCACGTAGTGTGCCTTGGAGATTTTCTTGCTGGCGTGCGGTGAAAGTCAGAATGGTTTGTTACAGAAATCCTGTCGAGTGAACACACTGACATGTCATGCAGTCATTAACTGATAACTTTGTTGGGGTATCTGAAACATGAGCCTGAAGTGACCTTGCCTGGCATGAGGTCCTTCCTAGGAATGTGGCACGTGAGCTAGTTGCTGTGTCTCCCTGCAAATTCTCGGATGGACTCAGCAGCCCTCTGAAGGTGCCTTTCTGTCTACTGACTGTAGAGGGAGTTAGGACAATTAAGATCCTAACTGTATTCCTCAAAAACCAGAAGGGGTTTAATGTGTCGTGTGAAGCGGGGTGAAAATGCTTCCAAATTTGCAGTTGTTTCCTGTGCATGTGGAGACTGCCATGTACGAGCTGTACTGATGGGACGAGTGGGGAAAGCCAGCCCCTGAAGTACTGGTTTCGGGAATGTCTCACGCTTCCCATGATTCTCAATGTTACTGTGTCCTCTTTAAAAAAAAAAAAAAGCTAGTGCCTTTTCTCCCCATAAAACAATGCTGAATGACTTAATTTTTCTTAAACTCCTATATAAGTATATTTTTAAGCTTCTGTTAAGAATATTCAAAACTGCATGGCTGTTTTTGAGTAATAACAATTCTTGAATGTGCCCAGAAGAAAATTCTTCGGACGACGCGCACAGCGACAGAAGAAAGCGACACAAGTCGGACAGCATTTCCTTGACGTTCGATGAAAGTCTCTCGTGGTGTGTAGTCAGTGGTCTCTGCCGTGACAGAAGCAATAGCGATTCAACAGATTCTCTTTCGATTCCTGTAAGTTTAAAATACTTTTTTTGGGTACAGGTATTTCAGATACCAGAAATGCAAATACGCAGCGTAAAACATCGTGGTCTTAATTAAAAGCAGCAGTGCCCTTGGTGTCTGAGGCGAGAAAAGAAGCTGAAGGGAAAGTTGGTGTGTGGGTGGAGTGGGGTCTCTCATAGGTCTGCTGACAAAGCTGAAGTGAATTTTTAAAAAACACTAACAGAATATTCTTTAAAAAACAGATTCTTGCTGCTTGGGGCGGTATTGAAAAGACGTGGGCTGTATTTTGTGTTTTGAAATGGGTGCTGCTTAGGGTGGTGAGAGAAGAAAAGCAGTCCCTGGCATTCTGTGACGGAGGGCAGTTGGTGCTTCTGGGCATCTGCTAGTTCTGGTACAGGTTCCGTAACTCTCATAGTAGGGCTGTGATGACGCCGTCTTCGTTTTCCAAGCCCCTGCTGTGTGGCTCTGGGTTCTGTTTTGTTTTGGTTTGGTTTTCAGCAAATTATCTGTGGTTACCTTAAGTCGTGAAGAGCTAAACTTACTCCTGGTCACACGCTGTGTTCTGCACTGACAGAACTAAGACTGTGTCTTCACCCGTGCTGTGTTGTAGTTAGCCCCTGTCTCAAATTAAGTTGAACCAAGTTGATGAGAATAGAGAATTTAATGACATGCAGCCAACGTCTGCGTCTTGTTTTCAGCAAATTATCTGTGGTTACCTTAAGTCGTGAAGAGCTAAACTTACTCCTGGTCACACGCTGTGTTCTGCACTGACAGAACTAAGACTGTGTCTTCACCCGTGCTGTGTTGTAGTTAGCCCCTGTCTCAAATTAAGTTGAACCAAGTTGATGAGAATAGAGAATTTAATGACATGCAGCCAACGTCTGCGTCTTCCTCCTTCTGTTCTTTCCCTTCGTAGGGGAGCCATTGTGAAACGGCAGCAGCAGTCCTCGAGCTGGCTGCAGGTTGACTGCAGCCTCTGTTGCAGGGCTGACAAAAGGCTTTCGGATCTGGCTTTACTTTTACCTGCGTAGGGCTCGTTGGCCTTGTGAAGGGACACGAACAGCAGCAGGTCTCACTTCTTCCACAGCTAATGAAACCAAGTAGCTCTGGTTTTGTCTTCTGGTGTTTTATCTTAACAGTAATGGTTATGGATACTGACTGGGGAGGTTGAATGTGTGCTTTCTCTCCTTTTCAGGATCTCGATGCCAGTTCGTTAAGTGAAAACTCTGATTGGTTTGACCACAATTCTGTTTCAGACCAGTTCAGTGTAGAATTTGAAGTTGAGTCTATTTATTCAGAAGATTATAGCCATAATGAAGAAGGACAGGAGCTCACAGATGAAGATGATGAGGTACATTTCTGTTCGGTGTTTTTTTTGACTCCAGAGGGCGAGGGGAGGAAGGAAACTTCCTCTTGAGATTGCAGCAAGAAGGAACTCCTCAGGTATATTTCAGGACTGTGTGTGCTGTGTCACCAACTGCACCCAGTCGTTCGTTAAATAAAACTACATGCCTGCGCAGTCGGGTCGCCGTTACACACCCACCAGGCGGTAGCAAGAACGGTGCTGTGGCTTTCCGTAGGCTCTGAAACGGATTCTTGACAGGCTGGAAAGGTGTGTTGAACTTCGCTCGCTAGCTGTTGGAGTCGAGGGCAGCGTGTGCACTTGAGTCTGTAACAGCAGGTGTAGAAGCAGAAGTGTGTGGTGAGCTTTGACACTTCTGACACTGAGTGAAAACTTCCCTGGCAGCTTTTTGCAGAGGGGTATTTCAGAATTGTTCGCCTCCGTGAATACGAATGTTTCATAGAGACGCTGAAACACAATTATAGAAATTTCCATTCTGAGGCAAGAAAGCAGACTTGTGATTACCGTCAGTTCCAAGAGACCTAGGTATCTGGAATGTCAGGAACGAAGTGGGATTTTCTGTGTCCTGGGTTACTTGTCTGTAACTTGCAAGAGGCGAATCAGGTGAGGCCCGGATTGGCTAAGTGCCGGAGGCAGAATTGGCCAGGGACTTACAGGACGCTGACACTTGAGGGGCTGAATGGGACTGGCTGAACTGCTGTACCCCGGGTCACAGTGCTGCGGAGCTGCAGCCTGAGATAACATCGTGATTTGGAGGAGGAAAGGATTGAGGTGTGCCCCCGCTCCCAGTAGCAGCGTTGAGAATTGCGGAATGGCGAGGCTGGGAGGGGTCTCTGGAGGTCCTGTTATCCACCGGCCCTCGGCTCAAGCAGAGCTGGTTGCTGAGGGCCATGTCCAGGTGACCTGACTGTCTCCAAGGGTGGGGCCTCCACAGTGGCTCAGGGCAACCTTAGGGCACCCTCGCAGCAAAGCAGTGTCTCCTGACGTCAGACAGAACCTCCTGTGTTTTAACTTGTGCCAGCTGCCTCCTGTCCTGTTGCTGGACGCCACTGAAAAGAGCCTGTCTCTCTCTTCTTTGCACCCTCCCTTCAGGTGTTTATACACATTGATAAGATCCCCCCGAGCCTTTTCTTCTCCAGGCTGAATGGTCCCAATGCTCTCAGCCTCTCCTCACGTGAGAGCTCCTCCAGTCCCTTGCCATCTCAGCAGCCCGCCCTTCGCTCGACTCTCTCCAGCAGCTCCATACCTCTCCTGTACCGGGGAGCCCAGGGTGGGACGCAGTGCTCCAGGTGTGGCCTCATCAGCGCTGAGCGGAGGGGAAGGATCACCTCTGTTGTGTACAGTGGAACCTTCTGCCTGTCTGACATACACTTCTCTTCCAGCTGTGTGTTGCACCTGTGAAGAGAGTTCTTTTCCCCCAAACCAGTCAGCAGATTCTGTGGAGTTAACTTGCTACTTCTCCCCCTCTACTCCGTTCTTGTGAGACCCCACCTGGAGTGCTGCATCCAGCTCTGGAGCCCGTAACATTACAAGGATATTTACCAGTTGGAGCGAGTCCAGAGGAGGCCACAAAGATGCTCCGAGGGCTGGAGCACCTCTGCTATGGGGACAGGCTGAGAGAGTTGGGCTTGTTCAGCCTGGAGAAGAGAAGGCTCCGGGGAGCCCTTATTGCAGCCTTCCAGTACCTGAAGGGGCTACAGGGAAGGTGGGGGGGGACTTTTTACAAGGGCCTGTAGTGACAGGACAAGGGGTAATGGGTTTAAATTGAAGGTGGGGAGGTTTAGATTAGATATCAGGAAGAAATTCTTCACAGAGAGGGTGGTGAGGCACTGGAACAGGTTGCCCAGAGAAGCTGTGGATGCCCCATCCCTGGAAGTGTTCAAGGCCAGGCTGGATGAGGCTTTGAGGAACCTGGTCTAGTGGAAGGTGTCCCTGCCCATGGCAGGGGGGGTGGAACTGGATGGGCTTTAAGGTCCCTTCCAACCCAAACCAGTCTGTGATTTTAATGTAAATTGATGTATGTGCGACGCTTAATGCGTTTGATGGAAAGGATCAGATTTTTAATTGAATGCCAAAACCCAGTTACATTAATACTTTCATTTTATTTAAACCAGGTATATCAGCTGACTATTTACCAGGATGAAGATAGTGATGCTGATTCATTTGATGAAGATCCAGAGATTTCTCTAGCTGTGAGTATAAACCTTGACTGCGAAAGCATCGTAAGTTGGGTCAAGGAGTATGGAGCAGAGATGAATTCTGTTGCTACTGGTGACTTTTTTTTTAAGAATTAAAGTGACACTTTCTTGGATGTTTCAAGGTTCCAAAACAATATTTTCATATTTTTGGGTTTTTTTTTAATTAGTAAGCTTTCTAGTCAGTTTTAAAAAACCCCAAAACCCAAAGCCACTAACTTAGGGTTTCACTGGAAGGAAATTATTTGGAGCCTAAATCTGACTTTCTGCACACACACAAAAAAGTCATAGAGATCACAAAAGCTCTTGTACAAATTACAGTGTCTAGTTTTACTGCCTAAACTGAACGAAGGCATCTGTAGCATACGGATGTGAAGGCAAATCTGTTTTCATAACAGTACTGCAAAATTACTGGATTTTAAGGCTTTTTCCATATTCTGTGAGACCATTCATGATGTGTGGGAAGAAGTTCAGGGGGTTGAGGCGAAGCGTGTCGACAGGTGACAAAAGCACACGCGCACACGAATTCAAAAGCCGTGTGTCTGTTCACTTACAGCTGCTTTTCACACTTGGGGCTCGGCTAAAGCTGTTGTCCAACACTGCCTGAAGTGCCCCCAGTCTCGGGCCGGTCTGTAGGACCGAGGGTGTTCACACTGCATGTAAAACACAGGGCTCGCCACCACCTTCAAGCACAGCGCTGCCCTGTGTATGGAAAAATGCGCCTGTGAGTTATTTTTAGGAATTAAAATGGGTCTCAAGCTTTTGGTGTCACTGATGTTATTCAGGACTCAAACAAAACGGTGCCTTGAATGTCTGAGTAAGGTCTGGTTTTATTTCCCCTGCGGCATGCAGTAGGTCTCAGCAGAGTCTTTCTTCTTAAAAATACTCCTAGTGTTTTTTTCAGCATAGCCCATGGAGAAACCTCTGGGACCGGGACGCGGCCTTTTTTTTTTTTTAATGAAATGGCTGATGTTTTCTGCTGTGTCAGAGCGCCCTCACCCGGGCGTGTTGCACACCAGCAGCTTGGCGTCCCTTCCCGTCTCCAGTGATTTCCATTTCAACAGCCGACTGCTGAAAATAACGGGAATGGCAACACTTTTACCAGAAGTTTTTCATGAGGTTCTCTTTTGTGGTCTGGTTTCTTCAGTTATTTCACGAGAAATCATGATCATTCTACCTCTGTTTCACAAATCTACTGCAAAAATAAAGAAAATCCGAGAATCTTTTTAAAATCAGGACCGTTTAGTCTAGATCCATACAGTGGGGCAAACGCTGAATGGAATTTTTAAAGCATAAACAAATTGGTACCTCAAGGTAACTGTTACTTTGGCAGTAAGAAATTGTTTCTAATCTCTGAATACTTCAGCTGTAAGCATTCCAAGTAGCCTAAGCTGTTCCAACCTTTAATTCACTAAAGGATTATTGGAAGTGTCCTGAATGTAGCGAAATGAATCCTCCGCTTCCACGGCATTGCCACAGATGCTGGGCCCTTCGGGAGGACTGGCTTCCGGAGGAAAAGAGCGATAAACTGGCAAAGAGCAAGTTAGAAAGTTCCTTCCCCTTGGAGTCGGAAGAAGGTTTTGATGTTCCCGACTGCAAGAAAGTGAAAATGAGTGAAGACAAAGACGCAGCCGGAGAGGAGCATGGGGATAAAGCAGTACAGATTTCCGAGTCCCAGGAAAGTGAAGATTATTCGCAGCCCTCAACGTCAAGCAGCATGTTTTGCAGCAGTCAGGAGGACTACAAGGAACCCGAGAAGAGAGACGTGCAAGACAAAGAGGAAGGGGTGGAATCCAGCCTGCCCGTGTCCAGCATAGAGCCCTGCGTCATCTGTCAGAGCAGACCTAAAAACGGCTGCATAGTTCACGGCAAGACGGGACACCTCATGTCGTGCTTTACGTGCGCGAGGAAGCTGAAGAAGAGGAACAAACCCTGTCCGGTGTGCAGGCAGCCCATACAAATGATTGTACTCACTTATTTTAGTTAGATGGATGTGCAAGGAACTGCATGAACTGGTTAAGAGAGTAAGAAACTATTTTTGTATGCTTATTGGAAATTGAGTATTTTGGGTCTCTTGACGTTTGGTATGAAAAGTATTTGCTGAAATAAATGCACTGGCGTTGTTAAGAGGTGAGTTAGCCTAATACCCGTAAATTAACTTCAAGATTTTAAATCCCTCAATAGAAATAACCGATTCCTGTAAACTACCCGCCTTTCCAAGTGCTTTGTGTTCCTTGCAGGTTGGTGACGTTGGTTTTACTGGGTTAAACAGGCACATTAAAAACCCAAATTCAGTGATCACGGAAGGGGAGACGTGTTGCAGAGTTCGTTAGTCAGAGGTCCTCCTCTTAAGGAGATAGGAGATTCTCCAGATTCCAGGATCTGTTCCCTGGTGAAGATGCCAGGCTCAGTCAGAACCCTCTGAATCGGTCAGTAAAATAAATAAACAGAATCGTGTCTCCCTCGTTCCCCAGACTTAAATTCCTCCAAGTAACACGATTATGGGGAGATCTTGTCAGGAAGTGGGGAAGATGGGATAGAAAATAATTTCAGGTTTTGGAAACAGAAAAGGGCATTGTGTATCTTGTGGGTTTTTTTTATAGTGTGTGTTGTAAACCCCAGGGTCGTGTGTGTCCTGAGAAGTCACCTATCCGAGTTCAAGTTCTCTGGGACACCCTGAGAAACCCAGCTTTTAAGGTGCCGGTTGGGTTGGGAGGTCTGTACTAGGTCTTCCCAATTTCCCCTGGTTCTGTCCGTGTCGCAGGAATTGGGAGAATCTTTGCAAGGTATTTGGCCAGTTGAAAATTGGTCTCGCTGTACCTGTCCTTCGCTGCTTTTAGCTCTTGTCACCTCGCTGTACTCTGTCAGAGGGGTGAAGCTGATCAGCCCCTTTATTAAGGAGTCTACTACCTGACTCGCATCCGTGCTGCGCTCGGAGTAGGTGATGCGAGTAGAGGATTTTTTAACTTCAGGTGTCGTCAGAGGATCGTTAGGTGGTTCATCTGAGCTGTTCTGCAGATGGGCAGTTTCTCTGCCAGTGGGTTGTGTTTATTCCTTTGGAAAGCTGGATCACAAGAGGAGTTGTGAGCACCTTTTAATTTTACAGGTGGTTGCTGATCATCTGCCCAGTAGGGAATGGCAAACAAGCAGTTTCAGCGTCAGGGGAGTGGCAGGAGTGGAGATGGAGCCTACGAGCAGGTGTGGTACTGTTTTACCAGGCAGGGGTTAAACAGCGCCCGTAGCACCACCCACACGGAACTGGGATACAGGGAAGTACCCAGGAAAAGGGCACAGAGGTGCCCTGTGCAGGAGAGACTTGGTAAACCCTTGGTTGTTACCTGCCTGCAAAACAATACCCTTGTAGGTGAAGTCTGCATTACCGGCGTCAGTGGCGTTTTGTTGGTTCGTTTGAGCCAGTTTTCTGACACGTTGGCAGCGCAGGGACTGTACTTCCGAAGCCTTGTCCGCTACATCGCCTCCCCTGTCTTGTGCTCCTTCAGTGTGCTGCCTTCTCTGCAGTCACCCCCGTGGCCGTGGAACTGCAGTCCTGAAGAGCAGCTGTTCTTCCCTAGTCCCTGCTGGGAGTGTCCCATCCTGCTCTTGGCATTCTCTCCCACTCCCCCTAAGTGATCTCCGTGTTCAGAAATGCGCTGGCTTTACATAAAAAAACACGGGAGCTCTCCCAGAGGTGGGTGGGTTGGAGCGATGCCCCTTGCTGTTCACAACCCCTCAGCTTCGGGATTGTTCCTCTCTAACAGTTTTCTCTCCCGACAACGCTTTCTGCTTTGGCAAACTGTGATGTGAGAGCGTCCAGCATGATGACCTTTCCCTTTCGTGATGTAGCACGCGGAGAGCAGCCCTGGAAGTGCCCTCCACTCCATGCAAAGCTGAGGAAATGGGTAGTTCCGATTTCTGCATCTGTGGCCAAACCTCTGGGTTGGAACGAATCTTTGTTTTGAATTACAGCTTCTGGCTGTAAGACTGGTCTGCAGAACTTCAGGGTTCGGTTTGTTTGAGTCCCACCCCCCCAAGCTATCCCTGAGCAGTAAGGGAGGGCTGAGTTTGGGTACCTACTCCAGTTCCCGTAGAGGACGCTGGCAGGCCCGTGCCCCCAGCCTGGGATTTGGGGTGTGCGTACGTGGTGCAGTGACCCCAGGCGTCCCAGCCCAGGCCGGGTCGTCAGTCCCAAAGATCTTGGGGTGTGCCTCCGCCCTGTCACCCCGACCCACCTTGGTGCAGGCGGGGCAAGTGGCCACCAGCCCGGCCTTTACCACCCTGTTCTTTCCGTCCTTGGTAGCGGCATGAAGGTCAGCAGTTGTTCGTGGTGAGGTCTTTGAGATCCTTATTTAATACTGTACACTTTTTAACCTTTAATTTATTGCAGTTTGTAAATATTCTTGTGCTTACAGTTAAGTGTTTTGAGCCTTAATTTATTGAGTCAGTCTGTTGGTACGCGCGTAGATGCGTAACGCGCACACTTGGCGAGTCACGGTCAAGAGAAACATTTAAGAAATGGTAGCATTAAGATGAAGAGAAATAACCTGATTAAGAGGGGCGGAGGAGGGTTTATGGCTGTTTCCTTTTTTTTTGTTTCCCTGAACACAACTTGTGTGTTGAACCTGAGCAGCAGTTATTACCTAGAGGTGGAGGGTGAGAAGCTACCTGCTTCCCGGTGCTGGTGGGAGGCACGGTCTGGAAGGCAGGGAGAGGTGCTGAGAGGCCTCTCAGCACCTCTGGGTGAATTCCAGCGGGTGGTAATTGCTTTTGCCTCTTGACGGAGCAGATGCTGGCAGTGTGACAGTTTTCACTGTGTGTTTTGGTCAGTGCCTTCGTGCACCTCAGGAAGAGAGCAGTTAGGTGCAAATGCCACAAGAACTCACATTTATTCTTTTTTTCTAAAGTACAATAAAACTGCTTTTTTGATATTTGATATTTTTTTGGCTGTTGTAGCTATTTTATTAGTATTGAAATTCGGCTCTGGACCCAAGGAGGCAAAATGAATACTGGAGGCAGATGGCAAAATTGCATTGTTTCAGCATCTGACAGTTCTCAAAAAGGCTAAAGCGTCGAAAATTAACACCTCTGAGAACCTTTAGTACCGAGACTTCGCTTCAGGTCCGTAAGTTGGGAAGCCTGCTGCTGCCTCTGTCCCTCGCAGCCACGTGCACAGCCGGGAGGGAAGCAGCTGGGTTGCTGGTAGCTCACGCTGCAAGGGTTACGCTTCCGGTTGAGCGGCTCCCTCGGATGCTGGCGCAGCACTAACGCGCTCCCGGCGAGGACACCGGGCGAAACGTGCGCCCCGCCAGGCGCTTCGGCTGGCGGGCTGAGTTGGGAAGGGGGCAGGCGCTACGGAAGTGTCACTGAGGGAGTCGGCAGCAGGGCTTTGTCACCGAGTTCTGTTTGCTGGGCATGGGTTCCGGCGTGGCTGTCTCTGCGATGCCTGTGTGGCATATTGGAGACTAATTAATGCGAGGGCAAACCAGTTCCTCATTCTTGCAGAACGTGTCAACAAGAATAATTGTTTCAGAAAACCGTGTGCTTACGGGGGAGAGATGAGAAAATTTTTAGAAGTGTAATGAAACAGAATAAACTGAAATGAATAAATAGGATTAATACAGAGGTGAAGAACTTTTCTGCCCCATCTTAATGTGAAGCTGCTGTTGTGTTGAGGTGTAACTTTAGAAGTCAGAGTTTGTAATTTTAACGCAGTTGCTTTATTCAGTGCATTAACCTGCTGCACGTACGGTGGGGCAGCAGTTACCCCGTTTTCTTGTGCAACAAAAGGGACGTTTGCTGTTGCGGTGCTGCCCCGGGGGAAGGAGTGCTGAACGTGTGCAGGCGTACGGGACGCGCGGAGAAGCAGCAGCGTTCATACCTGTCCTGAGCTCTCCTGATCATTCACCTCTGAGTGGCTGCAGGGTCACCCACGTACTTCGTGCAGCCCGTTACGTGCCACGTTTGTACTTAACGCACGCCCCTGCCTTACTGTACGTCCAGCTCCTGTAGGACACGGCTTGGTTGGAGCATCAGCTGGCGGGCATGGGCCTGTTCCGGGGGCCACCTACCCGAGTAAGTGGAACCTCTTCTAATCTCATCCATTCCTTAGTCAGTGTCTTATCTTGAGTTACTTCTTGTTTAAAGGTTGTGCAAGCAATGTAAAGAAGAAAAAAAAAACCACACCCCCAAAACTTGGGCTTAAGGTGTCTTTTAGCAATGGATTGCACTTACGGAGCGTGAAAAATTGTTGCTTTTAACTAATGTGTGGGGTTTTTTTATTTAGCACAGATGCACTAAAAGCTTGAAGTGAATGCCTCTCGTGTGTGTGTGTGTATATACCCACATATATATACATATATATTCTACATGGAAGATTTGTTGGTGATACTTAAAAAGGTGTCATCTCCCCTGCTGGGTAGATGCTGCTTTGATTTAACAGCCTGAATTTTAAAGACAATCCTTTGCTTGAGCTAAACTGATGGCCGTCAGCGTGACGGTCACAACACCCAACAGCCTTTCCAAAGTCGGAGTCTTACTTCGTTGTCTGTCTCCATGTAGTTGGAATGAGCGGTAACTGGTCTGGTTTGTAATGATTTTAGGTAACTGTGCGATTTTGCCACTACTCCCAGGCGATCCCGCTTTCAGAACACGTCAAGGTGCACACCTTGCAGACACCCAGTGCACGTACTACCATGGTAACTGCTAAGATGCCAGTACCCACTTGACTTGCACAGAGCACAGGTCCGTTTATGAGAAGAATTTTCATGTGTGTTCTGTCTGTCTCCTGATTTTCAGTTTTTCCTTTAGTATGTTCCAGTTAAAAGCTTTAAATAAAGATTTGTTCATATACTCCTTGGTGCTCCTTCTTCATGGCAATGACTTGAGGGTTGAAAGTTCTCCTACTCTGTTTTCATACAGATTTTTAATTCTGGGAAGCAGCATGCAAGCTCTTCCTGCCCTCACTCAGCTGCTGGGCCACGGGCTTCTCACAGGTTTTGTGCTTTTGGGGGATTTTAAAGTCAAGGGCTCGTGCTGTAAGTGACAGAAACTAAAGTTCTTGAGGTAAGTGACAGAACTCTTTAAGTTCTCTCACGTTCTTTGTGCTGTGACAGAATCAGAGCCAAGCGAGGAATTAGTGGATAATCACTTCCTCCGCTGGTGAGCAATCCACAGCAGTTTAAGAGGGGGAGAAAAGGTAGAAAATCCAGGTGGATAGGCTGAAAACATTCAGATGCTACTTTGCACGCACCGCCCTCGTTCCACACTGGTGCTGCCGTTCTGAAGCGTGTTTCCACGTTGAGCGGCTGCACAGGCCAAGTGGCTGATGCCCAGGCTGCGCCGCCACGCTGGGCTCGGTGTGCCGGGCAGTACCGCCCTTCCGCTGGAGGTGGGGCGGTTAAAAAGGCAACTAGAGTTCCAGCATTTCTTACGGAGTGTATACAGGAGAAGATTGCTGTTTCCAAAGATAAGCGATTTCATAAGCAACCAGAAGAGATGAAGAAAGTTCCTGGCAAATCAAGTTTTAAAATAAACGCAGGAGATGGTACTAACTGGCTTTTCTTGATAAATTTTGTGTTTATCGGACAGCTTCAGAGGGCCCCAAAAATGATTTGTGAGGGGCCAGGCAGGAAGAACCTGCTCATTCTCCACGCGGCAGGGCCCAGCCGGGGCAACGGGGCAGTTCAGCTGTCACTGAAACCAGCCTCTGTGACAGGATCCCGTGCAGCTCCCCGAGTGTCCTGCCAGCATCCCTTAGACATCATCCAAGCAGCATAGCACCCGCCCGGGCTGGGAAACGAGCGCCCAGGCGCCTTTGCTAAAGCTACGCAGATTTTTAAAAATGCTGGCTTCTGCACGGTTCTGTTCCACTTCAAACTCAGTAAAAACCAGACAAGAGCAATGACACAAAGCTGTCGATGACCGTTTCCACCTTGTTTTCAACAGCTCTGTCTTGGGGGGGGGACAGTTTTTGGAGAGCAGCGTGGATTCTCATCAGGCTTCCAGCAACACGGCCCTTGGACTTCGGTCAACGTGTCCGCATTACGGCTATGACCCCAGCTCAGCCCTGAGCAGTCTCCTCTGTTCAGGT